AACAGAAGCACCCTTCCGGCCTAGAGAAAAGCTGGCTGAGAAACAGAGGTATTTCCAGAACATTCAAAGGCACACTCATTTGAAGGGTCCCATGGACAAGATAACCTCTGTTGCCATTCCTCTTGGTTTTGCAATTTCATCAATCTATATGATTGTGAGTTCCAACACCATTCTTTTCATATCTCCCCCCACCCCTCCCCACAAATTATCATCCTCATTTTTGCAATAGCGATGTGGTTTATATTATTTCTCTTTTTTTAATATACATAATTCCGATGATACAATTTTCAATTTTTTTCCAAATCATGTGCCCGGTCAAAGTGGTGAGGGATAGAGGAAGTAATAACAGTGGTGATGATGTTTCAGGGTAGAGGGATCTACAATATGTCACATGGCATTGGGAAGAAGGAATGATGGCTCAACAATGTCTGCCCTTCCATGCTTTGACTTAAATATTGTTTTTTGGCATTTGGAATTATGGAAGCATTTTGTTGCTAATAACTTGTTGTTCTTTGGCCAACATAACATTGCATATGAGACAAACTCCATGCTCTTATATTTTATTTACATGAGAAATAAATGCTACTAGGCACTAGCAACATATTGTAGAATTATGAAGATGGCGTTGATATTTGATGATGATGCATGAACATTTTCTAGAAATATACTTCCTTCGGCTTTGAATGAACTTTGCTCTTTTTCTCTTCTCCACACTTGGTATTTCTCCATAATTTAAGTTATTTAACAAAGTTGGATGAACAAATTTGAGTGATACTAGGTGAAATGGTACCAAGGTACTGTACCAGACATCTACCGATCCCTTTGCTTGTTTGTTGTTCTTAACCAAGTCATGGATTGATTTCGAGACTTCGTGTGTTGTATAACTATAAGTGAAAAGTGTTCACATCGAACACTAGACTATTTTTTGCATTCGGTGATGATTTATTTGATGATGTAATTCTTCTGTTATATTCTAAATATAATTTTGATATGCCTTGAACAAGTATAATGAACTAAGGCTGTTGTTTGTATGAACCTGAGTATGTATAGTGATTATTAATGACCTAGGTTATCTAGGAGTATTCTAGGACTGCCTTATTGTTATTAAAATTGAAAGTTTTTGATAGGTCGTAAAGCCTTGTGGACTGAGTGTCCAGTGGCATTCGGGTAACGATGTATGTATATAGAATCTGAGATCTGATCTGTATGATCGAAGGTTCAAACTAACTGACGCCGTAGGTATCGAGTTAACTAAAATCATGGTTGTAGGTAGTGGTTTTGAGTCATAGTCTAGACTCGAGTTATTGTCGTAGGTAGTGGCTCCAAGTGCTAAATAAGATTGTGGATAACGATGAGCTGGCCTTAGCCCAGTACAGGTTATGAGCGATTGGTAATGTCAACCTTGAAAATGACATGATGTATGAATTTATTTGATGATATGTGAAACTACATGTGCATTGAAGCTATGAATGATTATGTTTGTAGTTTGAGTTAATCCTATGTACGATTTCTACTGTTATAACTTTTCACTCAACGTGAGAGTTGAGCGTGTAGTTTGTTTTACTTGCTACACGTAAGTAACAGGCTTGATGAACATGCATGGAGCCAGTTCTAGAGGGCATCGAGGATAGGAGATGTACGGATGCATGGTTGAAGAGTTGATTAAATTAATATTTTAGGTTGAATTTATTAATTTCTTTTTCCGACATTAACCCAAAGTTATGCTTGAATTACGTACTTAAGTTTTCGCATCATCTTATATTACTCTGATTGATATTTTGGATGTAATCTGGTAGCATCTCTTTTTGGAACGAAGGAGGTTGAAAAGAACTAAAATTGAAAACAGCTCTCGTTATTCAAGCAAAACAGCCGACATCACTCAAAAAATTAAATTTTTAAGATGGACTTCTTAAAAGTACTCCGGTAATAAAAAAAATTCTTGTTGAAATTATTAATAATATTAACTATTAACAAATCTTTATGATATATGAGGCCGATTCTAGAGCCACTGGAATCCAGTGGCTACGGAAGCCACTGCCCCCCTACGGAGCGTCGTTCATGAAATTGATGATTCCTACCCCCTAACCCCCCCGGTAAACCCCCCCCACAAGTCTCGATCCAAACTACTCCCCACACCTACGTCAATTGCACCTCGCAAGTATAATTGAATTTAAAGTCAAAATTTTTGACTTTATACTTGCGATGTGCAATTGACGTAGGTGGGGGGAGTAGTTTGGGTCAAGACTTGGCGGGGGGTTTACCGGGGGGTTAGGGGAGTAGGAATCATCAATTCCATGAACGGAGCTCCGTAGGGAGGCAGTGGCTTCTGTATCCAGTGGCTCTAGAACCGGCCTCATGATATATTAGTAGAAAAAAAGAGAGAAGTTTTGAATTTGGTGAACGTGAACTTAGATAAGTGATTTCAATTTGGTAGGCTCGAAATCTTAGAAAGATGTGTACATCAAAACATCAAAATATTAAAGAATTCAAATAAGATCCACAACATTAATGTGAAGATATAAGATCTACTCCGTATTAGGTAGTATCAGGGAAGTAGAAATAATTTGAAATCTTAGATTTCAATTTCAATATTTGAAATCTCATAATTTCAAAATCTAAATGTTATTTTGGAAGTCAACGAATTTAATTTCAAGAATATAAATTTTGAAGTCGGAAAAAGCCGGTAACGTAAGTCGGTTATTATGTATGGAATTGTTTTGTTATATAAGGAGAGATTATCCCTTTGATTACAAGTTATAAATTAAAGAGAAATTAAGTTTGAATATGTAAATGACATGGAAATGAGGTGTCGATTTGTAATTGGCTTACTTTTGAATAAGAAGAATTTGGTCTAAATCCAATTCTAAGATCATTGAGTTCTCAAACAAGTAATTTAGATTAACTTTAAATTTGAAATTCAAAATCAAGTTTCCAAACACACCATTAAAACATTTGCTTTATTCAACTAGTATTTATATTCATTTATATTCGTAACTAAATTTGCAATATCATTTTTTTAAATTCATTATTTAAATTTGACAAAATTGTACAAACAAAACAAACCCCCCAAAACCTATTCATAGAACAAGAACATCACCATTCACCACACAGAAAAGCAATGTTCTGTTCAAAAGGGAAACGTAGCAAAAGAACAAATAAAACATTAAATTTGTGCACGGAAAATGCTTAAGAGGCACCACGTATTCCTCCAAGCATGCTACCTAATATATAGCAATTTATATTTTTTTTTCATTTTTTAGGCTTTTCGTCTCCCGCCGAAAGACATTCCCAAATCTAATCTCTCTCCATTCTCCCGCTTCAACCTCCCCAAGCTCCCAATTCCCAAATTTTCCTTTTTTCTTTCCCAAATTTGGCTTGTGTTCGTCTGATTGTTGTAGAATTTCGAATCGCCGGCAAAATCCCCAACCCTCCACCTCCAGCGACCCTCCACCTCCAGCGCCGGGAACCCCAACCCTCCACCTATAGGGTCGGCACCCAAACTCTCCACCCCTAGCAGCGGCAGCCCCACCCGTCCACCTCTAGCGCCGGCAGCCACACCCTCAACCTCCCTTGCCGGCAGTCCTGCTTAAGCCTGAAACGTACTCAAGCTAATTTCCCTTTCTTTGGTCTTTGCTGATTATTTCAATTTTCTTGGTGTTTTTAAACTGTGTGTTAATGTAGTTGTGGATTTGATAATAGTATGTTTGTGTAGTCTCAAATCTCCATAATGTAGTTTCATTGATTAACTTATATAAGTTTATTGTATGTGAAATATGTTTGGTTGTAAAATTTTTGCTTACTTTTTGAATTGTGAAATATGTTTGGTTGTGAAACAAGTCTACTTGTTATTTTTGCTTGCTTTCTTTGAATGATATGTCATAGACAATTAACTTCTGTTTATTGAACTTCATATATGATTATTGTCTGTGTGAATATTTAAATTGTGTTAATTGAACTTCATTTCAGACGATGTCTTTGTTAATCACTGTAAGTGCTCATTTTGGAGCTCAGTACTCAGTTTGTTCTGACATCTGTGAACCATCAAAAACATTCAGAAGAAATTGAGTCCTAGTCAATTTGAAGAATTTCACAGGACTCCAATTGGGCACTTCCTGGGGCTTAAGAACCTCCAGTTTTCTGGCCAGATCATTCACCAAATGCTTTTGTTGCTTGTTGAGGATCAATGAATTCTGGATCCTCCAAAAAGGTGAAATTGTCAAATTCACTTCAACGACTGGTGCAGAATTACAGGGTTGCCGAACACAAAGAGGTACCCACCTCTTAAGGGCAAAGAGCTTTGACAGAGCTCACTGTGTCACACATTCTTAGGAGGGGAGGTCGTGAAGTGCACCTTCAAGCATGTACGAGAGAAGTATGTTGCAGCGGAGAATACCATGGATTCGAAGAAAATGGTTAACTTTTCCATGCTCTACTTCATTGAGTCTGTCCTTTTAGCAAAGGATAGATCTACATGCATTAAATCAACCCATTTGCATCTTGTCGAAGAGCCCAAAAAATTCAAATCTTATCCATGGGCTTGGGAGTCGTACTTACTTACTATACGACATATGAAAAGTGCAATGGATGGACAGCCCGAAAAATTTGGAAAAAAGCAAAGAAACCCCAAACTACAAATCCTTAAAGTACACCTTCTATGGTTTTCCATTGCCTATTCAGGTTAGTATATGAACATAATATGTATTCTAACACTTACTTGGAATATTCATTATTTTTATATTTACTTTTGTTTAAGGTGTGGGCGTATGAGTGTTTTGCGGAGTTGGTTGAAAAAACCTTGCTGTGCAAGAGGGGACTTCTTCTTGTGAAATTTTGAATTGGGCATCAAAGAAGTTTCCAAAAGCAGTGACACTTAAGGACATTTTCTTTCGTGAATTGCAACAAAAGAAGGTAATATATTCGCTGACTTTTAATCTCTGTGAATTTACATTATACCTACAGTCACTGTCTGGGAATATATATGCTTTATGCTCTTGTTTATACACTGGATTCTGATGCCGACACCGTTCGAGCCATTAGAGATTTGAAGAAAAGGATGGATGGACTTGAAGTGAAGATTGATGAAATCAAGAAGTTGTTGGTGGAGGTTGTTATGAACCTGAATTCAAGTGGCCGAAGGAGAAGATCTGTCAGAATTCAGAGACAGAAGAGAGCAAGGGGATCCGCAAGACAGCAAGGTTCGACTTCATCTAACCCCTGCTATGATGCACGCACCTATATATCCCACTCATCGTCCTGATTTCAAGATTTGGAGTACCGGGGCGGAAACCCATTGGCCTCAAAAACAAGAAAGTTCGCCCACGCTTGCATATTTGAGTAAAGTTACAAGTCTGACAGAACCTTTAGGGCGGGGTTCCTCAGACAGACGGAATCCATCTTCTAGCCAATCCACGGGATGGATCTACACCTTATTAAATTAATAGAATTACATTTCGATTCGCGTCTACCCTCTCTTGTCCTTTCCTCGACGGGAATCACTCAAATATCATAGCTATCATAGCGCGCTTTTCAAAGGCTGCTGCGAAAGATGATGAGGATTTAGAAGAAGATGATGAAATCGAGGAGGCTATTGAGGAATATGAGGAGGAGACTGGAGCCGATGAAGATGAAGATGAGACTCGGGAAAATAAGGAGGAGAGTATGGAAAGTGAGGACGACACTGAGGAGACACGGGAAAATGAAGAGGAGAATGCGATTGGGGAAAATGAGGATAGAGAGCAAATTGAGGGATCTTTAATTTTTGTGAAACTCTTTGTAATGGTTTTTGTGCTTTGTAATGTATTTTTTGGGGAAACACTTTAGATTTTTTTTTGAAAGCTTTGTGATGGGGCTTAGTTTATGACTGAATTGTAGATTTACTTTCAGAGCCCTCACAGAGAATAACTGTCTATTTTACCTTTTACACAGAGCTTCAACGTATGTGACAGAGTTACATAACGTTATGCACTTAAGATTTTTTTGAAAGCTTTGTAATGGGGCTTTCATCACAATGAATTTCTACTTGTTAATGCACAATCTGTTACTGTGTGTGATGAATGATTTACCTTAGTTTATGGCTGAATTACAGATTTACTTTCAGATCCCTCCTAGAGATTAATAGTCTATTTTACCCATTACATAGTGCTTTAAATTATGTGACGACGGAGTTACTTAACGTATGTGGGGGTCTTGTATAGCTAAAAACAAAGTTAAAACGCATACACAAGATTTCATGGTGCTCACATGGAATAACTGTCTATGTCATACACTTCACAGAGACTTAATATATGTGAAGACAGAGTTACATCAGGTTTACATCAGTTTATGTGCAGGGAACTCAGAGAAAGTTATCATACTTGTTACATACTTTACACAAAAAGCAAAAAGCAAAAAGGTATGTGATTTACAGTTCCCATGCTCATTCCAAAAAATCAGAGCTTCGGTGCCTAGATCTGATGGAAAAAAATAGCTGTTAAAAGTCAATGTAGTGAAAGGCCAAGATCCAGACCTTCCAAGGTGAGGTCGTAAACACCATCTTCGTCTTGCACGGGCCAAACATGCTGCCTTTGTGATGCCAAGATCTTAGACGCATCCATTTTCTTCCTCTTCTTAGGTAGGCTATCATTTTTTCTACCTTCTTTCGGTTTTGGGTTTTTCTCTGTAGTCCTTTTTCTTGTTTTCTTTTGACCACACTTTTCCCTGTTGGACTTGAGACGACTCTTTCTTGGAGCTCCTTTGTGTGTGCCGATTAATGGGTCTAACACAAGTGTAGTGCTTGTTGTATGTTCGGGAATTTATTGAACTCCTTTGGATGGATTTTGGCTTCTCATTGCTTCTACAAACATCTCCTTCTGAATCCAATCCATTATCTCTTTTGTGCGGTATTCATCGTCTACGACTTTATTCGCCAAAGCCCGAAAGCTGTTGCACAAGTCATCATACCGTTGTTGTTCGACAGTACATATCCAGCCATCATAATCTACTTTGACCCGTGTGTATGCCCGCTTCACATCACGCCTCCATCGCTCTAGGATATACTTCTCAGGCAAAAACCTAACAACGTTTCGAATGAAGACAACGATGCAATGTCTACAAATCATCCCTTTAAACTCAAAAAGATGGCAAGTGCAATCCACCTCTTGTGTACATGGATCAAATGCAACTTCATAAGACTTCCTCGTGCGAAACCCTTTGATGCACACGTACTCCTCCACTACAAAAGTATCCCCAATGTTGCTTATAATATCGCAGTATACTTTCCCAAGAATTTCAGTCTGAAGCTCTTTAAATTTGGAAATAGTATATACGTCTTTAAGTTGTTTCTCCATTTCATACATAGTGACACATGGGATCATTTTTGTAAAGGGGCTAGCATCTGCTTGAAACTCCATTTCCACTTTTTTCCTTAGCGCACGGTCGTATTGATCAACAAATTGCTTGAGTGTTGTCTTTGAATGCACGTAGCCATCAAAGAAAGCATTCATGTTTTCACTACGCTGCGTTGAGGACATACCTGTGGAAGAAAGTACAGTTTAACACACAAATTTTGAAATAATAATTTAAATGTCATAGACAATTACTGTCTGTGAATAACACTCTCACAGACAGTAATTGTCAAGTTTAAAAAAACAGAACACATAAAATAAGTACCAGCCCAAAAAGAAGTTCGTAGATAACATGGAACCCATCTCTCTCTCCAAAAAATTATCTCAGCCAACCACTCATTGTCATTTAGTTCCTCATCCATAATCATTTCTCTCCAGCCTTGCTCAAATTCTGTGATAACATGAACATCATACACAAGGTCGTTTATCTTATCCATGATTTCAACTTTATCAGACCTGCCTCCTAACTTTTCAGGCAATTTGTTAAGAATATGCCAAAGACACCAACGATGTTTAATGCCTGGAAACACAATACTGATTGCTTTAGCCATGGCTTGATCTTGATCTGTAATTATGCCTTGGGGTGGAACCCCATCCATACACTGAAGCCATGTCTTGAAAAGCCAAACAAATGACTCTGTATCTTCGTGTGCAATTAAGCCACAACCAAGAAGTACTGATTGCCCATGATGGTTTACACCTACGAAAGGAGCAAACCGCAATTCATACTTGTTAGTCAAGTATGTAGTGTCAAATGTCACAACATCACCAAAGGATTTGTAACACTGACGACACCTATTGTCCACCCAAAACACATTTCTAAGCCTTGATTCTTCGTCCACATCCATGCTAAAGAAAAACCCGTCATTCTTAGCTTGCATGTTGTTAAAATATCCTTGTATTGCCTCTGCATCTCCGAGGCCAAGTCTTAATCGTCTAAACTCTTCAATGTAATTTCGACAATCCTTCTCTATAAAGCCAAGTTCTTCATATCCACCCGCTTCCACAACAGCCGCTTGAAAACTCTTGTGCAAGGGAATTCCTGCCTTGTCATTAACCTCAAGCTGCTTTTTAACACTAGCAAGCACACTACGATTACAACGATATATTCTAGATTTAGTAGGACTCAAGTCATGGTTATGCAATAACTGCACAACGGAGATCTTCCATATTCCATCACCATCACATGACGCAGTTACTCTTGCTTCACATCCCAATTGCATTGTCGGCCTCGGGTGGAACACATCTTGTGTTTTGCTCTCTTTTTTTCCTTGTCGACTACACACAAATGTAACACTTCTTGGAGTTCCATCTTTGGCTTTGCGAGTTGTCCTCGTCCGCATTGGAAATCCTACACTTCGAGCATAAGCCAGATAGTGTTCTCGAATTTCTCCAATGCTTGTAAACTTCATCCCCGCTTCAGGCACGCTACCTTTGTTTCCTTTAGAATGGCATTGACAATTGTTCCGTCATCATTGTTAATGTCATCTGTGTTCTGTGGAATCTCACCACTCGCCTGTTCTTGCCCTTCGTCATTAAATAAATACTGAAAGCAAGGATCATTTAGAAACAAATCTGGTTCAACAGCTGCAAAAAACAGTACCTTTAATATAATAAAATACCTGACTATGAAGAAAACAATAATACACGAAATGCAGAGTGCATACAGATAATTAGCGTCTGTGACAAGGACAAACTCTAGATTCACAGAACTTTAATTTCTGTAACATGAAAACAAAACAGTTTTTTTCACTACTTCAAATGAATATAGAATGGGGTCTAAATATCAACACTTACAACTGGGCTGCAACTCATATAAACCAGGTCTTCTTCTTCACCACCAAAATCATGTGGTTGCTCATTCTCAACATGTGTAACAATAGATGTTTGTAAGTCCATAATCACCAAATATCCTATGTACTCTACAAAAATTCAAAAAATTATTGCCATAGAAATTGACTAAAAATGGAATGAAGAGAAGAGATTGACAGAGGAATTGTCGTGCTACAGGGGTTGGCGCATTAGAGATATGAAGAGGAAGATAGGACAAAAAAGAGATTACTTGAAGCCTTGTAAGAAGGAGAGCGCAGAAAAGGGTGAAGGGAGCCGGTCGCTGCCGCGGAAGAGCAGAGCCAGAGCGACGCAGAGGAAAGGAAAAAGAAAAGAAAAAAAAGAAGGAGAAAAGATAAAAAAAACACCTTATATAGGGAGGCAGCAAAGGAGGCATGGGTGGGTGCATTGTAGCACGGTCCTTTGTGCACACCCCAATATTTACTGGAATTAAATTTAAAAGGGGAATGGACCCCTATATTTCTCTTACATTAATAGGTTGGTCCCCTATGTTCTTGTACAAAAAAAAATGGATCAGACTTTTCAATTTTACTCCGTTTCTACTTCTTCTTTTTTTAAAAAAAATCATTGTGCATTGTAATCACTCTAAATTTTGTCACAATAATTCAATTGAAGAACTTTGTATTCACATTCCTTTTAATTTATTGGCCTAAAATTAGAAATAAAACTAAAAATTAACCAATACACTTTAGTGTTTGCCTCTTAAAATAAATACGAGTAATACCGAATATATATTTTATTGTCATAGATTAAAAGTACGTCCACATATTGTTAACATAAAAATGTACCCATTGAGATATTATAAGTAATTTAGGCCTTGGCCCAAGTAAGGATCCATACAAAGATCCGGCCCAAAGATAATGTAGTGGGCCAGCAAAGAAAAACCATCCAAAAGGCAAGCTAGGGAAAGAAATAAGGTTGGGGGCCTAAGATATGGGCTGGATCTCAGCCCATTAAGGTCGGGTCACCCAGAGGAAGATAACCCTACAATTAAATTAGGTTAAGCCATCCTCCTGAAGGGACGGACGGTTGGGTAAAGGAGGCAAGGAATAATGGTCGGACGGACAGTTTTGTCCTTAATTGGATGACCTTAAGCTGAGAAATATATTTCTGGGAAAGAGGAGGATTGCCCGGATAATTTTCCAACCACCGCGAATATATTGATAAGATGGTGGCTGGGAAAGCTCCTATAAAAGGAGAAAGAGTTTAGACAGTGGAGGATAACTTGTAACAGAGAGAGAAAAGACTTGAGTAATAAAAGAATATTCCGGCGGTCCTATAGAATATTCCGATCCCAAGGTGGACCGAAGAGAGAATGGGCCTCCAGTTTGAGTTCATATATTGTGTGCAGTGCATTTATTTACAGTCCATTACCTTTTCTATTTTTACTTTTTTACTGTTATAAGGCCGATGTACTAATACTTGGACCTGGACCGATCAATAGTCCTAGGGGAAAATATTAGTCATCCATCACTGGCACCATCCGTGGGACTGATTGAAGCCTTTTAGCCTTCTGGAAAGCTGATAGCGAGCCTATCTCATTTTTATTCCTTTGGCGGACCTCTCCTCTGTCCTTACGGCAATTAGCGGTCCACCCAAGTGAAAAGGATAGACTCGCGGTCCATCCAGAAGGACCCTTCATAGACATCGGTTCATCTAGGAGGACCACTTTCATAAATCGTTCCATCCAAGAGGATCGTTCTCACGCCAGGAGGATCATTTTCATAAATTGGTCCAAGCATGAGACACAAGAAAAATTTTATGAGCAAAGTTTATACTCTAAGTTACCCAAGAGTTCTCAACCAGTCCCAAAAGATTCTCAGGCAGCATTAGAGAGGTTTGACGCTAACTCACCTCTTGTCTGAAAGTTGATCGGATGGCTCAACAAAGAAGAAGAGGTCCGGTCTCAAAGGACCCAAAGGGAAGCGAGCCAGGAAAGGGGCGAGGAAGTGGAAAGCCATGGACGCATATCTATGCTAGATCTTGTCTTTCGGCTACGTCACCGGCAAGGCGAAGTGGAGATGGTGGCATAGATCTACAACAGTATGGAGGTGGTGACCAACGATGATAGATGCGGCCAACGAGGCCTTCGTGCACCAGATCTACAGTTGACCCCCGAAGGAGTCCGTTGAGGAATGAAAAAAAAAGATATTAGAGGGCGGAGAGAGAGAGAGAGAGAGAGAGAGAGAGAAATTCGAGAGTTAGGAAACATTGGAGAGAACTAAGAGATAGAAAACGTCGGAGAGAGGGAGAAGATTTGAGAGGAAGAGAGAAGATGTGAGAATACGAGACTTCATTTGAAGTTCATGTATTTTGACAAATATTTTATTTGTGAGTAGAGAGAAAGAGATGCGGGTGGGGATGATATTAGCTTGTGTTGCCAAGGGTATAATTGTCTTTTAATTTGAGGTTAAAATACTTGCCAATTTAGAAAATGAGAAGTTTTTTATGGACAGACAAATATGGAAAGTGAGAAGTGTATTTATGCACGGAGGGAGTATTCATAGTTTGATACTCCTCCCGTCTCTGAAAATTTTTCTTCTTTCCTTTTTCATTTGTTTCAAAAAAAAATTCTCATTTCTATTAAGAAGTTTATTTTACCCCTACTAATTTATAACCTACCTATCACATAACATTTAATTTATCCCATCAAATCATATTTTTACCCATCATATCAAAAGACATTTTTAGAAATTCAATACCAAAATATACTCTCTTTAAATTCCTTAAAAATCAAAATCTCCCCTATTTTTAGATAGAGAAGTAGTATTTGTCAGTGACATAATCACAAGTTATGATGTGTCTTAAAATGGCCCAAAGACTAACAACTTTATGTTTTTGCTAAAAACCACATAGTACTAATCTAACATGATTTATTTTATTCTAATTATACGAAGTTCAAGCTTCTGATTATCCGAGACCATATCAAGGTACCATATCAAGGTATCAACTCAACCAGAAGTTCAAGCTTCTGATTGTCGCCCAAGAATAGTTTTTATGTACTCTAACATTGATCAAGCCCTAATTTTTTGTGGAATTTTAGTATAAAATTCAAACCCATCATGGATATACTCTTTATATGTGGAACTTTATTTTTTAAGAAAAGAAAGAAGCAAGAAAACTGTACCATTCTTAAAGAAAGCAAAGACAATGTTCACATTCCTTTAAAGCAAGTCTAGCTAGGGACACCTGTCCTGGTAAATGTGTATATTTATGATGACTCATTAGACAAGGCAAAATGGGAGTAGGCAAGAAAGTGTGGTGACAATGGCGACCCCAAAACAGATGATGGGAGAGACGCAGCTGTCGATGAGCATGAAGAGCTCCGGCGGCCTCGGCTATGCCGGAGCCGGCAGCCCGATGGCGGAGGACAGGGACGAGGACATTACGAGATCGGCCCTCTCCGCCTTTCGGGCCAAGGAGGAAGATATCGAGAGGCGGAGGAGGGAGGTGTCCGAGAAAGTGCAGGCACAACTCGGCCGTGTTGAGGAACAAACTAAGCGTTTGGCTGATATCAGAGAGGTATTTATATGTATTTTTTGTTTTTATTTTTTCAAAAATGTTTGCTGCACACCAAGTTTTTACCACATACATTTTCCCACTAAATATGAAAATGTTAGGGGTGCATCAATTGTACCTCATTGTATTTGAATCATACAATCTGGGTGTGGATAAAAACATTCATAAATTAATAAAGAATGTACTCCCTCTGTCTAAAAATTATTTCTCGTTGTGCATTATGATGTTTGACTGAAGTTATTTTCAAATTATTTTATATGAAAAATGGTGTGGAATTAAAAATTAAAAATAACATATTAAAAAAATATATCAAAAAGATCCACAAATTTAGAAGTGACATAACTATATTATTTTATCAAATGCGTAATGAAAATTGGTCAACAAAGTGAATAACGTTTGATTATGTGAATAATGAACGTAAAAGATAATTTTTGGACCAAATGAGTATTCTGATGTTTGTTGGTGTACAAATGAGGTACACCATTGTTATTAGGGGTGAATCAAATTTTACAAACTTTGAGTAAAAATTATAAAAAAGTTTATTTAGATATAAATCATATAATGTACTCTGATGAGGTTACATAAATGTCTTTGGCTTCTCAGTTTAGTTCTTTGAATAATATTAGAATTTATTATTACAAGCAAAAAATAATAAATGTAAATAAATTATGAGATATGAACTTGTTTTATTTTCTTACTCTCTTTGTCTCACAAAATAGTTTCGCTCTAATTTTTTTATTCATTTTACAAAACACGTTTACCACACCTAAACTTTTGGTAAGTACACCTTATTTTTTCTCGTGGATAGAAGTTGTTTTAAGAAATACTTTAGACATTTTGGGTAAAGTATAAGTATTGTGTGGAATGCACAAAAAATTAAGACAGAAATTATTTTGTTAAATGGAGAGAGTATAAGAAATTGTTGTGAGTATTTAATTTAAGCATGGAGAAATATTTTTCAAACTAATTTCATAGAGTGAAATTATTAGTCAAAGTATTTATAAGTCTTTGACTTTGACACAATGACACATATATGTACTAATTAATATATACTTAATAAGTCTCCCAATCACGCACTTAATTTGAACATAATTTAGTGTAATTATAAAAATAAAAATTGTGTGAGATTTTTAGAAAATCATTAATCATGAAACGTATTTTTAAAAATGAAAATAAAAATAAAAATAAAAGAGTTTTATTATAAAAAGTATAAATTGTGGTGTAGGAGCTAGAAGGGTTTGGTGATCCAGTGGGAAAAGAAGTCGCTGCTGTTCGGAAGAGGATCGATGTGGTTAGCCGAGAGTTGAAGCCGATGGGACAAACCTGCCAAAGAAAGGTATGTGCTTATGCTAGTTCTTAAATTTCTTAAATTTAGTGTATTTTTGTGTAAGCTACTTAAAAATGTTTATTTTTAACTTATGAGGCAGTCGATGATATTTTTTTTTGTGTTTTTAAGTTGATTTATAAGTTAAAAAAACAAGTAGATATTGTGCTTATCGACGACACACGTGAGGGACTAAACGATACGTTGGAACTATGACGCCTTGCCCTTGAGACTAAAAGGTTCAGAATAAGTAGGAACAAGACTGAATACATGGAATGTCATTTCAACGGCCGGGAAACAAAATCAGAAGTGGATGTTAGAATTGACTCTCACCTAGTACCTAAGGTAGACATGTTTCGATATCTTGGCTCGGTAATCCAGGCTGATGGGGAGTTAGACGGGGATGTTGGACATCGTGTTAGAGTGGCTTAGGCCAAATGGCGGTTGGCTTCAGGGGTGTTAGAACTCAGCATGTAGGAGACTAGGTGGGAGAGTATCAAACAAGGGCTGAGTACCTTTTTGATCGTGAGAGTGTAAAGTGATCAAATATATTTAATTAGTAGTGAACGTGATGCCCTTTCGTGAAGTTAGGAGAGTTTTATATAACACATTTGTGCTATACATGTGTTTCCAACTGCTGTTTAGGACAGGACCTAGTGGGCCGGACCCACTGGAATCGTGTTTTTGACTGATAATACAAAGGATGTAATTACAAATAGTATTGTTACAAATGATGTACAAACGAACAATATCAGAGATGCCCTTGTGTGGGCCCGTAGAGATGACCGTGATAGGGTTGTCCTGCTTCTTTAGAACCAGAGGTCGAGGACACAATTTTGTCGCAGGAAGACAATCGAGTAAAGACTTGCTCGGGTCTTCCCCTAGGTCCGAGTGCATGCATTCGAGCTAAGTACAGACGCGTGTCTGAGTGTGGTTTTTACTTTGAGGGCTTGGTTTCCTTTAAGTCCCACTCATTCGGGTAAGGCATTTTGGCCGAGCGCGTCCGGTTGTTGTGATGAGATGGGCCTTGCGTTGGACCAGTTTTGTTTTTGTCGGGCTGGATACCCCTCGGTTTAGGGTATCCATCAATTATAAATATACTTTCCTTATTTTAGCTAAAAGTCAAAATGAGAAGAGTTTATTGAAACGGAAAGAGTACAACTTACACATTTAAAATTTCTAGGGTACATCAAACGTTCTACAAAACAAGCAGCAGTGATATGTCTATAAACAAAAATAGGAGTAAAAGAGAGAGAAAACATCAAAACAAGAGCTCTATATTTTTTCCACAAAATAGCAGTTTGTACTTTGATAATGTACGTGTCACTGTATATTGTCATTTCACATTATATCTTTTCTTGTATTATATGTTGACTTGTTAGCATTGGAACTCTTATTTTGGAAATAAAAATATGTATGTATCTCCTATTTTGATACTTTATGTTTTACTCATAATTTAGTCTTTTTTCTTATGTGTGTGTGTGTGTGTATATGTATATGTATATGTATGTGTGTGTGTGTGTGTCTATATAGATTTTGGTTCTGGTGAGAATGCAATCTTAGGAGAGAAATGAGAATGAATCTGATGCTTTAGATTGTGCGATCTAAAGGTCAGGATTGTATCAAAATTAGGTGTAACAAAATTGTTCGAAAATGCATCACGTCGAAATGCATTATAATCCTTTGAAAATGCACTATCTCAAAATCTGAGCGCAGGATGCAATCTGAGCCGCACGATGCATCAGATCCAACGGCTAGATTTCATTCTCATTTCTCTCCACAATGTACATTCTCACAAGAACCGGCCCTATATATATATATATATATATATATATATATATATATATAAATCAAATAATCAATGAAAATATATATACATTAACAAATTAAAAGTTATTGAGAGTTTTAATTTCAAATAATAACTAGGCCAAATAATCGAGTGAGGAGGGAGAACAAATGTATTCCAATGAACTCCTTATATATATATATATATATATATATATATATATATATATATATATATATATATATATATATATATATATATATATATATATATATATATATATATATCAAACAACCAACTCAACCAAAAGTTCAAGCATGTGGTTGTGGCTTAGGAAGAGTTATTTATATTCTAACACGCCCCCTCACGTGCAAGCGTAGTCTTTTTCGAGCCTTGCACATGAAGCTTTTAATTTTCTTAAAATTGGGTGGAGCTGAGTTTCGAACCCGTGACCTCTAGGTCAACAAGGCTCCGATACGATGTTAAAGAACCAATTCAATCAAAAAGCTCAAGCTAGGATTTTTATCCTACTGAATTAGGTAATAAGACACTTGGGTTGAACCACATTAAAAGATTAAGCTTAATATCTTGAGTGTTGGGAATCTAGCTAGAATGGATGACAATGTTGTGTGGCAGATGATGAAAAATGAAGAAGACTTGGTAGATTGAACGAATCGCATGAAACACGCTTTCAGATAAAATTTATTTCAATGTATACAAAATATTAGAATTGAATAAGACGTAAGTATTTAGAAAGAGTTTGCATATTATGCATCCTCAGAACATACCCTCGAGCCATCTACTTATAGGTCAAGATCTATATGGATATGTTCGTTGATGAAACAACATAACCTTTTGTCAAACATTCAATTGTTCGCTCTCGAACACTCGATTGTGTACATATATAGGTTAGTGTGTGAACAATTACTTCAATTCTACAAGTTTGCGCAAAGATTCGCATCTATTTGCGAAATGTTCATATATTTGACACTATACATTTGAATGTTACATGCCTTTTCATAAAGAATGCTAGAGATAAACTACACATTTGAATGTATTGTTTTATAATTCGAATGCACATTAAATATCTCCAAACCTCGTTTACAACAATTAATTTCTTCCTAACTAACCAATGCTCTGCCCTTTTTAACATAACGAGGTCTGCTGCCCCTTGGACCCAATGACGGATCCAAGAATACAAGTGACAGGGACCAGTAGTAAGGCGGGGGATCGAGGTTGCGCACCCTAAATTTTTTAAAGACACCTTAAAATTATGATAAGAAACAAGTTTATATCAAACAATTTTAAAGTAAATAAATTAAAATATTTCAAAAGTAAATAAATAAAATAAAACATCACAAGACTAGAAAAATACTAGTACTAAATGAATTACGTAGTATATCATATTTAATGTACTCCGTAACTATTATATTACAAATAATTATTTACCTTTATATATTATTTAAATAATTCTTTTCATTTGAAATCAATTATATTTACTAGGGCCCGATTTTTTTACCAAGGGCAGATTTTTAGTTTACTACCTAGAATTTTTTATATTTTTAAAAAATATTTTTCAAAAAAAAAAAAACAGACCTGGGCAAGTGCCCTTGATACGATCAAGCTTGATCTGCCAATGCATGGACCCTTGTCGCCCGAACCCGCTATGGAGATTTTGATAACGTAGTGTATTCTCTGTACCTTTTAACTCGTTAATAATGTCTATTAAAATTTCCGTCGATTTTAAATAAATCAAATTATATAAAATACTCCCTCCGTCCCTGAGCATTTGTTTACTCTTAACTTTTTTCGGTCAAAATTGGTATGTTTTGACCTTAAATTAAATAAAAATTATATTAGATATTGGTACAAAAATAGTTTCATCAGATTCATCATATCAAATATTTTCAAAATTATATTTTGGCATAAGTTGAAATGTCATTTCATTTTCTTTTTTTGCTTTAATGGCTAAGAGATCAAATGAATGGCCATATTGTGAGTCCTTCAATTGGAGGACCCGCGCTCAACAATCAACATGAAGTCTATCCACAATATTTTCTCTCCTTTTTTTTCTGTCTAAAAAAATTAGTTTCTCATAAAAAAATTTCTGTTGCTTTTACTTTGGGAGAGAGGAAATATATGACTAGTGCAAATGCAAATTATGTATATGCAGGAAAAGGAATATAAAGAAGCTTTGGAGGCATTTAATATGAAGAGCAAGGAAAAAGCTCAATTAATCTCGAAATTAATGGAATTAGTGAGCGAAAGTGAGAAGCTCAGAATGAAGAAATTGGAGGACTTGAGCAAGAGCTTAGACTCTCTACGCTAATCACAATCTATTTTTTAATCCCAATCTTTTAATTACCACTACCAATTTGTTGATTTCTTTTTTTTAAAAAAAAAAAAAAACTTTTTGAAATCATGATCATATGTATCAAATGTGTGTACATTTTGTCGTTCCAAGTTTGACAAAGTGATGGCAAGGTTCAATTATCGACCGACAAAAGAGTGCTTTGAATTTGACTTTTCCTTTTTTTAATGGGATTTGAACATTATTTCAATTAATTTCCTGTCGTTTGATGCAATGGAGCATTTGTTTGGAAAAAGAAAGATATTCAATGTGGTTATAATATTATTGTGAAGATTTGTTGTTTGGTTTTTAAATGAGGGTTTTGCACCATTTATCTCTTAATTTTTTTAAAACATGCACGGATTCCCCTTGAGTTTTAAAAAATGTACCAATACTCTCTGAACATTTAAAAATGTTGCATCAATGATCTATCTGTGCCAGATTTGGGGATCCATCCCGTGGATTGGCTAGAAGATGGATTCCGTCTGTCTGAGGAACCCCGCCCTGAAGGTTCTGTCAGACTTGTAACTTTACTCAAATATGCAAGCGTGGGCGAACTTTCTTGTTTTTGAGGCCAATGGCTTTCCGCCCCGGTACTCCAAATCTTGAAATCAGGACGATGAGTGGGATATATAGGTGCGTGCATCATAGCAGGGGTTAGATGAAGTCGAACCTTGCTGTCTTGCGGATCCTGTTTTCGGGTTGGTATCTTCGTCTTCATTGTCCAAACCGGGACCCTTCTCTAATCTAACGAAAGGGCTAACCTTTCTTTCGAGATGCGAAAAGGAAAGAACATTAATCACACGTTCATCTTGTACAAATATTGATTTATCTAAATTCATATAAGAAAACCTCCTAAACAGGAGTAAAACATGGATCATATCCTTAAAACAGGATTTCAAACTTAAACTCCTCTAAGTAGGAGTAATTAATTAAATATGTGTTTTGATTACAGTAAAGAGTAGCGGCGGCTCTTTTCCGAACTAAATAGCCTCTCATCAGAACTTGTAGTATTACTATTCCTTTTAAAGCTCTTAGTGCTTTCCTCGCATGCACCAAAGCTAGGAACTTAGAATATACAACGGGGTACTCTGGAGTAAAACTATTTCGAAAGACACCAATTATATGTACATAATATATAATTATACATTTTCATAATTTATGCTCAAAGAATGTTACTGTTTAACTAAAAAAATCAAGCGAAATTTGTACTGAATAGAACTAAAACATAAATCATTTCTTAATGTAAGACTTAAACTTTTTTATTCCCTAAATAGGACTTAATAATGACTAGTGAAAAAATAATGTCCAAGTGATGCTGGACATTTAGTTGAATAATGACTAAAAGATAATGACCAATGGTCCTACATTGAAAAATAAAAACATATGGTTCTATATTGAGAAAGTCATTATGTTTTAGTCCTATTAAATAAGTAAATTACCCAAAAATCAAAGCATGAAGAAATTTATACGAAACGAATATAAAACATTCTCCATCCGTTTTTGGAAACACTTCCGTCCTTATTTTTTTATAAGAATCGCTCTAAATAGGACTAAAACATAGAAAAAAATACCAAAATAAGAATTTCATATTTTTATTTCTGAAATAGGACTTCACACTGTGGTAATGTGGTTGCAACGTGGCACTGTACATGTGCACATTACTATATCTTATTTTATCAAATTAATGATGAAAATATATAAACAAAAGTTATTGAGAAGCCATAATAGTGACAGCGGCATCCAATTCGTATGAAGGGAGTAAAATTTATGTACTTGTGCCATTCCCAATCAAACTGGGGTTGGGCCAAAACCCCTTTTTTCATTATAATTATATACACTGAGTATGCTCTAGAAAAGTCATCCGAATTTGTCCATCATCATCTTCTTTCTCCTTTAGTGCCGATTGAACCAAAACAGGAGTATCACCCGAGTTCTTTGCCAAAGTCCTACATGGATTTAATTTAGTTTCTTCTCCAATTAAATCAAGGTGAGTTTGTGGGTTTAGTCAGGTATAGAAATTGTATATATTGTTAATTCGTATGCGGATTCGTTTAGGTAACCAGAACAACGACAATCTGCTCGACGCCGCCACGTATGCTTTTTATGGTGCAATTTCTCCAGCAGATAGCAAATGTGCCAATGTTTTAGCCGCCTCCTCTACCACCACCATGACTGTTGGGCGGTGCTCCTTGGACCACACGGCAAGAAGGAGAGCAAATCCCATTCTAAGTGGGATTGCTCTTGATTTGTTTCCTTGTTCATATTTAGTGATTTGTTTCCTTGTAGGAATAGAATTCCTTTTGTGTTTTGGTCTTTATCCTCTCCTATAAATAAAGGAGAAACTCCTTGTACTTAGCAGAACAATTCAATATACAGAATATTTTTTCCCTCTTATCAAATTCTACA